TGCGGAGGGGGGGCGAGAGTGGCCCCGCTTGTCAGAGAGGTAGAAGGAGCCAGGAGAGAAGCTCTCATTTCCCACGGATGCTGTACAACACCTCATGAGACAGCCTGGCATCAGGCGAAGCCTTGGCCCAACACAAACCCACAGCTGGCACATGCCTCGTTTTGAGAAGGCACCCAAGGACTGTGCCAGAGCCAGGCGACACGTTGTAGTGAACAGCAGAGGTAGGGGGGCAGGGGGACCGAGCAGGGAACGTCTCGAGGTGTTTCAGTGCATTGAAATGTGCATTGGAGTCAGGAGTCCCCAGGAGATGCCTGCCAGGACAGCAGCCCCACGGTGACGGAAAACCTGGTAGGGGTGGATGGGCTCTGCCGTGCCCACACCCGCATCCCCCCGGATGCTGGCCATGGGAACTGCACGCCCAGACATCCTGGATAGCAAGACAATCACTCTGGCAGAGCTAGGGAGCGGAAGAGGGCAAGGAAAAGCAAGCATGACAGCGGCCGCAGCAGCTCCTGGGTTGAGGATACGGCCCCAAGAGCCCCCCAGCACTGTCAGGCTGGACACACAAGCAGCAGCAGCATCCCACCTCCCTGCAGTCGTGCACGGGGAGACGGGCATGCGGGGAAGGAGAGGTACAGCCCTGCCTGTGGACCCCCAGGACCTGCCCCCCCCACAGGGCAGTGCCTGCAGCAGGGGGGGCATGCCCTGCCCGCGGCGCCGGATCGGCACGGGGCGATGCCAGTGCTGCGCTCCTGCATCCCTCCCGGGCTCAGGTGGGAATTTCCTGCAAGGAACCCCTGCACCACAACGCAATACTGCTCGGGCTCATGACATCGTACGTGACACTGGGGGGGGCGAGATTTCAAAGACAACATTGACCACTGCGCTATCCTGCCTACCGAAGCACCACATTCATTTGGGAAATGAATGCTCAGAGAACATTATCCTTTATGGACACTGGAGCCCAAATCCTCCCTGCTTTGACTACTATGTAAGCTTTCCAGCCACTCAGCAGGATTTTAAAATGTAAGGAAAAGTTGTAGATACTTTAAAAAAGGAAGTCGTAAATATCTGTAAACTACAGCCAAACATATAAAACAATATTTCTTTAGTTCTAGCTAGAAAAGTAATTCTATCACCTCACAGTTCAGTTTCAGCTACATTCAGGTCTAGGAATCTCCACATTCTTATGTAACGCCTTAAAGCAGCAATAGACGTTAAACAACAAATTTAAAAGTTTATCAAAAAAAGTCTTAAAAAATAACAATAAAAAAGGATTTGGTTTCTGTATCCTGCGTGTTCAGTGTGTGTAACCTGACCAGGGTCCCTTACACCTGCTGCTACACACTTCAGGGATTTTTGGCAGTTGCTTCAAGAGAGGTTTTGTTTGTTTAGGAAAAGCAGTAATTCACTATAGTTCAAGTTTGCCCGCAGCACCCCAGCAGCTGCCTCCACACTTACTGCTCAGCAAGTTGTGACTTTCCAGCTCTAGGCTAAAACGGAATATTTAATGCTCTGGAGGAGACTTCCCATCTCATCAGCTATGCACAGAGCTTCCTGCGCTGGGTAATTAAAGCTCTTCTTGTCCATCATTTTTCTACGTATCACTGCCATTAGTCCCTTTAAAGAAAAGTTACCCTGCCAGGTTCTTTGGTTAAAGACATTCCTCAGCTCTCCCTGCGGGGCCAGGCTGCCTTCCCACAGCACGTGGCCGGGGAGGGATGGTGCCATGGCAGAGTCCGGCGGCCGTGCCCGTCCCTCTCCCTCCACGGCAGCGGAGCTGTGCATCTTTACCAGAGAGACGAGGGACGCTCGGCTTGCTATTCACAAGCAAAGTAATCCTTGAGCGGGGAAAAGAGGTGCTGGATGACGGGGACGCTCCACGATCTCCCCGGCAGCTTCTGGCGAGCCCCGCGGCCGATGTTGGAGACGTCCGTGTAGTGGAGGGGGAAGCCGAAGATCCTGCGGAGCAGAGGCAGAAGAGGGGTTGAGGCTCGCTGGCTGCCCTGCTCCCCCGGTGCCATGGCCAGGACAGTCCCACTGCCCCTTCTCCATGTCCAGCCAGGGCTGCCTCGAGCCCCAGCCTGTGTTTTACAGTCGTGCTCAGCTGAAGTATCTCCCTGCTAAGTCTGTGCTCTCCACCAGCTCGCTGACATCCCTTCCCCGTGCAGCAGCAGGCCAGCACATATCGCTTCCCACCCAAAGCCCTTGCAGCATTCGGCACAGGCGAGGCAGCAGTTCCTCTGCCCAGAGCCCTCTGCACTCGCCCCAGGGCAGCGGCAGACGATGGCAGAGGAGAGCCCGCACCTCCCACGGCCCCACTCCTGCGGACGCAGCCACTCTGACAAGCCATCCCGCACGAATCTGTGCCAGCTCATCTGCCCCGTATGACTCAAACCACTTGCAGACGGGAACCGAGTGCCCAGGGCCGGCTGTGGGATGCGACCCGTCTGGCAGAGCCGAGCCAGGAATGAAGGAGCCCCGTGCTGCACCTGCTGGCCCGTGGAAATCTATACATGGCAAATATGTGCATGTGCCTCCCACCCCGGACATGCCTGCGGGCTGCCCCAGCTCCGCGAGCTCACAGCACCAGTGCATTCACAGACACTGAGGGCAGCCAAAATTAACCGCCAGCCATGCGAAAATTTGCTATTAAGCTCTGGAATCCACTACGGTTACGGTGCACAGCTATACGCCATACTGGAACACCAGTGCACGGCTATACGCTGTACTGGAACACCAGTGCCCCTGGGAGAGCCAAAGGATGGACCAGAAGTGTTGATGTACACAGCCCTGCGCAGCCACTGTCATCGCGGGTTTGGAGCCTTACTAAAACCAAGAGACCTTGTCTCACAGCCAGGATGCAGAAGGGGGCTCCTGTCTTACCAAAGTGCCCGTCAGGTGGAGCTACTGATGGCCTCTCCTACACATTTCCTACCGAAATACCCGCAGACTGCCTGCCTCCAAGGCTGGAGCAGAAGTGTCCAAGTCCCGGAGTATTGCTGCTCCAGGCTGTTGCTGGATACAGCACAACCACCACCGTCCCCGTGAGCTGCAGCAGGTCCCAGTCCACCGCCACCTCCACGAGCAGCCGATGCCCCTGGGAACACACCCCGGCAGAGCTCCGATTTCCCAGTTAAAGGGAGATGCTGGCAGGGATTAAGACCCTGGCATGCTGGCTCCATTTTAACATTGCATTAGGAAAATAAAAGGAAAAGCACAACAGAGAAGCCACCTCTCAGCCAGGAATCAGCCTAGGCACTGAATAGTGGGGAGTAAAAAGCAAATGCTAAACATCTACAGACAATAGAAAATTCCTCCTCCCAGCTCTGCGTGTCAAGTCCTCACCCAGCCTCCCCGGCTTGGCCAAGGTGGTTACAGCACCCTGCAAGGAACCACCAAGTTGTCAGAGGTCATTTTCCATGAACTCCGAGCTCCTGCCTGCTCCAGCACATGCCAGAGCAGAGCAGCTCCTCCCAGGGCAGGCGCAGGAGCCCTCTTCCGCATGGCAGCTCCCTTCCCGAGCCACCCAAACAGGCGATAAGCTTCAGGAGTCTCCTACAGCAAGCACTCTGCTCCCCAGCACGGTCAGAGCCCCGGCATCCTCAACAGTATCGCCGTCCTGGCTCATTAGCTGTTCCTAACGGTGCTGGGCAGTGCCAACCCACTTCCCCAGTGCCCTCAGTAGCTTTTCCTGGCAGCACTTTTGGAGGAGCCCTGTGCCCATGGCCCCCCGCCTGCCTCTGCCCAGCAAGGCACCTCCAGGAGCATTGCCCTGGGCTATTTCATGGAGACAGCTCTGAGTCAGGAGCTGGGCACTTCCATCTCCCCAGTCAGATGAAGTTCAAGTACCATTTAAATGGCACAGAGACAAAGGCTGTTTCCCTTTCAAATACCTACATGCCTCTAGCTCAGCTTTAATTACTTTAAACTCCAACAAAAACTGGCAATTTAAATATAAACAAGCAAAAATATGTAAAACCAGTCTGTGCTCACTGGCTGAGGCTTTGGCTGTCTGAAAACTCCCGGTTTTGTTGCTGGAAGTATTTGCTGTGCAGGGCTGCTAGTAATGGGGTTTTACTCTGCTCCAAGTCCTTCTGTTCTGTGAATTTGGGGTGCTACGAGGTGTGGACAAAGTCTGGAGGAGCACAGTCGTGCCGTGCTGCAGCAGCCACAGTGTGAGCGGCCCCAGGAAGGCAGCTGCTTGGATTCATCCCCGGCAAACCCCTGCATGGCACCGACCAGGGCGCGGGGCTGCCATGCAGCACCCCACGCCAGCCTCGGTCCTACAGGCTGGTGCACATGTGCGTCCCC